AAACATGTGGTATTTCTTTTTCTCTGCCTGACTCGTTTCACTTAATATTATTCTTTCAAGGTCCATCCATTTGAAAATATGTGTTTATTCAACATTTGCATTTGGAGCAGGAGTGTGTGTACCTGCATGTGTGCTGTGTGGTTTTGTTTCATGCATATATGTGTGCATGTGCACATGTGTGGTGCATATGAACATGTGTTTTGTGTGTGTGCACACGTACATGCATGCATATATGTGCACATGTGTGCCTATGTCTGCACATGTTGCATGGTTATGGCTATGTGTTGTGTGTACATGTTCATGTGGATTGTGTGCTTATGTTTTGTGCATACGTGTGTGAATGTGCACATGAGTACATATCAGCATGTGTTTTGTGCATATACACATGTGTGCATATACATGTGCACACATGTCTGTGCACATGTTGCATGCTCATGTGTTTGTGTGTTGTTTGTGCATGTGGAGGTGTGTTGTGTGGCCATGCTTTGTGCATGCATGAGTATACATGTGCACACATATATGTGCACACGTGCCTGTGCACATGTTGCATGCTTGTGCAATATGTGTGTTGTGTGTGCATGTGGAGATGTGTTGTATGGTCATGGTTTGTGCATGCTTGTGTGCATGTGCACGTGTGGTACATATTAGCATGTGTTTTATGCTTATATACATGCACACACATGCATGAGCATATATGTGCACATGCGTGTGCATGTGTCTGTGCAAGTGTTGTGTGTATGTGTGCTATGTGTATTGTGTGTGCTGCACACATGAGCATATATGTTTGTGTACGTGCATGTGTGCTTGCACAGGTTGTGTGTGAAGATATATGTGCATCTCATTCGACTCAGCTCATCTTGGAAGTAAAGTTAGAAGTGAATATTTAAGCAAGAAATTACCAGAGTTCCAAGCTTTAAGTGAAATTTAAGTTAGAAATGAAAAAGGTAGTTAGATGTGAAGTTGCATTTTTCCTCACATGGATGAAATAGCCTTATGTTTATTTTTCACATTCCTGAGAATAAAGGCTCTTGTCTGCTTTCTCTGTGAATAGCACAAGAGGAAAAAACCCAAATTGAGTCATGGAAGGATCCTGTTGAGCTAGTTTGCAGCATGATATTCTTGCGAGTTAGACACCATGATGGGAGCAGCTCAGGGCAATTCACAATCAATGAAAGGAGCATTTTAGGAAATTTTTAAGATGGTAGATATGTGGGCTATTTGCAGAGAAGAGACCGAAGCCAGAGGAAGAGAGGATAACAGGTAGGATAAGATTTCAGAGGGCAGTGAATGATCCTTCCTCGGGGCTGGCAGGGGAGGTTTTAGGACGAGGCAGGTACGTTTCACCTGGAATGCTGGTTTCAACTTTGGCTGCCCTGCAGAATCACCCAGGAAGTTTCTGATATGAACCTGTTCCTTGGACCGATAAAAGTAGGAACCTCTGGGGGTGGGATGTCAACATCAGGGTCTTTTAAAGCGTCCCAGGGACTCTTATGTGCAGTTAAGGTTGATCATGTCTGGTTCCCAACTGATTAATCCATGGCAAAGATTTCCGAGTTGGAATGCCTTCTGTGAGTCACATATGTCTTTGGAAAAATGTAATCAAATGAGTAAACATCTGGAGACAGCAGGACCACTTATAAATCCTTTCCAGTCATGAAAAGCTTGGATTATTTGAAACTAGTGAAGAGAGTTTGTGATGAGGGGTGCAGCCCACTAAACTGTTGATAGAAGTAGAGTTGTCATTATAAGGAGACAATGGTGCTTCTGATTTCCAGGGCAAACACTAAAATAACCAAGCCTGGAATCCACTCATAGTGCAGCCGTGTAATTTCATTATATTTAGATGTTTATTTAGAATATGTTCCAAAGCCCGAGCACCCTCATCAAAAAGAGGTAACTCTTTCTTTTTTGATCTGAAGCTATTTCAGCTGTCCCGTTCCCTCAGATAATTAATAATGGAGACTTCATTCCATCCTTGATTTAGATAATTCCAAATCAAGGCTGATGGGATATGTGAAGGGTTATAGAGACCAGGAACAGAGAGTTTAATACTGTGGTAACACAGTATCGAATTTTGCAAATTTTAGCATTCTTCATTAACAATACATATGTGCATGGAGGATTCTAGAGTTTGGGTAAATAATTAAAATCATGATTATGATGGTGGCCAATTTTTTCTGATGACTTAGCTGGGCACTATGCAAGCGTGTTGTGTTATCTTTACAAAGACATAACTTCTACAGTTTCTATTTTAATTGTGTCCATGAAGATCACTGATGGTTAAGTACACAACTTAGAACATCTGGCTGTTGGGGATATAGATCTTAAGCTAAAGAGAGGGCTGGAGAGGAGCTATAGGAGAGATATAGGTTTGTGAATCTGTAAATAAGGATTCTTTTGAGAAACAGAGCCAGTAGAATATAGAAGGGACTTCAGAAAGTTCAGGGAAAGATTCGTACTATGTTTTAACTCTATTTTGCCACGAACTTTTTGAGGTGTTCTTGTCCATATTCTATTGATATATCTATGTAGAGAGAGAGCTGTAAGAGGAGATTTTTTATGGGAATTGGCTTATGCAATTATGACAGGCAGGAAGTCCAATGATGTTTGATCTGCAAGCTGAAGTACCAGGAAAGTGGGTGCTGTTTATTATATGGTTCAAGTACAAAAGCCTGAGAGCCAAGACCTTCAATGTCCAAGGGCAGGAGGAAAGGGATGTCCCAGCTCAAGAAGAGAGAGCAAATTCTCCCGTCCTCCAGCTTTCTGTTTTATCTGCATCCTGGGTGGATTAGATGACACCCACGCACGTTGGTGAGGATAGATATTTTCCTCTCAGTTTACTGATTCAAATGCTAATCTCTTCCAGATACCCACTCATGGACACACCCACAGATAATGCTTTGCCAGCTACGTGGGCATCCCTTAGCCCAGTCAGGTTGACACTTGCAATGAACCCTCCCAGGGAGGAGCATGCAGACAGGCAGACAACATTAGGAGGTCCTGAGGACTGTGTTGGGAGTGTAGACGTTAAGAAAGAGAAAGGACAATGGTCCTGCTAGCAACTTGGCTGCGAAGGGAAGATGGGATAGTGGGCCCATTGATCGTCCGCATTTATTGTTCATTTACATACACAGTAGGCAAGAACTTATAGGCACCTTTTCCATGCCCTACACTCGAGACTATCAGAAGTGAGTGGGCACAATCCCAGCCTTCCTTGATTGTGCAGTCTAGTGGAGACAGGCAGAAGACCAAGTCATAATCTCCAAATTAAACATACAAATACAAAAGTGATGGGGGGGGGACAAAAAGAAGGGGGAGTAAGGTAGGGACAGCAGGTGGGTGGAGGCGTATGGGTCAGCTTTTCTGATGAAACGACGCTTGCATTAGGAATGACAGCACGTGTGGGAATTTGTAGCAGGAAAGGCAGGGAGTTGCACAGGCAGAGGATGCCCAGGGGCCAAAGTCATGGATTGTTTTAGGGATTTTAAGAAGTCCAGGTGTCGGATCAGTGAGGGAGGTTGTAAGAGGAGAGTTTGGCACAAGAGCAAGAGCTCAGTTCAGTGAGACTTGACAATCATGTTGAGATTTGGGTTTTTAAATCGTACAAGCAACAGGAAGCCGTTGGACACTGTTAGGGAGTATTGTAACTGGATTTGTGCATGCATAAGGTTGCTCTGCATGGTGCTGCATTTTGGAGGGGACAGGTGGCAAAATGAGAATGTCTAGGCCAGTTAAAGGGGTTTTGAGATGTCCAAGAAAGAGGAGCAGTGAACTGCTTGTGCTACTGCCAACGAGAGGGAACATGTATGGATATAACTGGATTTAAGAGATAATATTCAAGGTAGAACTAGCAGCACTTGGAATTGACTGAATGGAATTTGGGGTTCAGGAACCAGTGTCCTGCCTGAGGAGATGCTGGTCTTCAATTTGTAGTGATCGTCTTCGATCTGGGGACGTTGAGTTTTCTTTCCACATCTTGCATCTAGAAGATAAGGGTATCACACAATTCAGCACCTACATGTGGGTTCTTTCATAATCTGAAATTTGGTAGAATCTTCAAGATATTAAATTTTCTTTTGAAGGTGTTAAAGAACATGTCTAATGTTTCAAATGTTTGTTATTTGTTCATTTTAATTGACACGTTGTGATTGTACATGCTTATGGGGTGCAATCTGATGCGTTGATACATACATATGTTGTGTACTGATCGGCTCAGGGTAGTTAATGTACCCATCACCTTGTGCATTTATTTATTTGAAAGGATTCAAACCCTCTCCTCCACCTGTTAAGTAATATGCAAAACTTAACTGGAGATGTTTTTTTTTGGTGAACAAAGGAGAAATTACTTTCTATGCACAGATGTATTTCATCCCAGAACACGACTATTTCATCACCTAGTCCTGGGCTCAAGTCCAGGATGTAATTAAAGCCTCTGCTTTCAATTTTCACCCTGTGAGGCTTTGAGAAAAATGATAAGATTCTAAAATGCATTAAAAATACACTGATCATTAAATATATATGTATATATATATATATATTTCTCAAGCCTAATTAGCCAACTATTAGCCTCTGGTTTTCCATTTTGTTCACATTTTTATGCAAAAATATCGATTATCACACTTTATACTCAAATTTAAACACTATCTTTTTTGTTTGTTTGTTTTTTATGGGTCTGATATCACCAAAACATCTTGAAAAGTTGTAACAAGAATTAAATGTCACAATGCATGCAAAATTAATTGGTTAAATAAGATACTTATTTACATAAAACATTACTCTTTAAAAAACTAAATTCTGCTTTTAGAGGAAGCCAACATAGGAACATTTGTATAGTGAGAATTGATAAGGAATACCATTTATATGTTCGGTTGCCTAAAATGAAAATGTTAATTAATCTTGTCTGATTTTCCGTGTTTTTGTCTTTTCCCCCAAATGCTTGCAGGAGCTACTGGCTCTCGGTGTCACTGTGTTGCCTGTTTGTGGGTATAGATGGGACATTCATGACCAGGAACTCCAGACCCAATATTGTCCTGCTGATGGCGGACGACCTTGGGGTGGGCGATTTATGCTGCTATGGTAATAACACAGTGAGGTAATGATGGACCCCACACCACCGTGCCTGTCTGTGATGAAGCCAATCTTTGCCCTGTCTGTCACGCCTTTGCCACTCTGGGGAATGGTTTGCAGAGAGGAGCCTTTGTCAGCAGTCCATTATCAACCAGAACCGCAGAGGTCACATGAGGAAAATTTAAAAGATCAGGAGATCATTGCACATTCTTGTCCCCTTAGTCTATAGCTGCTGTTGTTTTTATTCTTGTGACAAAATTCACATGACATACAATTCACCTTTTTGAGCATTTTAAAGTGCACCACTCCTTGGCATGGAATGCAGTCACAACATTGTTGAACCATCACGTCTGTCTTGTTCCAGAACTTTCTTTTTCCTCCAAAAAGAGACCCTATGTTCATTATGCAGCCATTCCTCATTTTTCTGACTCCCCCCAGCCCCTGGTAGACATTCATTAACTTTTGGTTTCTCTGGAAATACCTATTCTTGAAATCCATATAAAAGGAATCATGTAATGTATGCATTTGTTTGACCACCATAACAAAGTCCTGCAAGCCAGGAGGTTTAAACAGACATTTATTCTGTCATAGTCCTGAGGCTGGAAGCCTGAGATCGAGGTGTGGCAGGGCTGGTTCCTCCTGAGGCCTCTCTCCTTGGCCTCCAGACACCGTCTTCTCCCTGTGTCCACACATGGTCATCCCTCTGTGCATGTCTGTGTCCTAATCTCCTCTTCTCATAAGGACACCAGTCATACTGGATCGGGGCCCACTTTAGTGATCTCACTTTACCTTAATCACCTCTTTAAAGGCCCTATATCCAAACATAGTCACATTCTGAGGTCCTGTAGGTAAGGATGTCGACCTATGAATTCTGGGCCTGGGACACAATTCAGCCCATAACATATAATGTGTGACCTTTTGTGTCTGGCTTCTTTCACTGAGCATAAAGTGTTCAAATTTCATGCATGTTGCAGTGTGTGTCAGTGTTTCATTACTTTCTATGGATGAATAATACTCCATTGTATATATACCTCATTAGCCTAGAGTTTAAAAAATACCTTTTTTGAATTATTTCCAAAGCCTCTATACCCAGGGTCCTATTTAATTCCTCTGCTCCCCATTCCTGAACAAATCCTGGTCATGATGTCTCTTAGAATGAATTTAAGTAGCACTGTTTTTTCTTGGACTGTGCATTACTGTTCATTCCTATATCTTAAGCATGTAATTAAAGATAGAAAGGCACTGGTTTTGTGAAAGGCATTTTAGGCCTAAATAAATAAGAATTTGAGAAAGGTGCTTTCTTATCCACTCTATGGTAGTAGTAGATAGAAAGAAAAATATCATTCAAGATTCATAGATTGTGACTGAAAGGCAGACACTGTCTCTATTGACTCAAAATACTGGGATACACAGTAGAATCTCAGATGCTGAGAGCATCTGTGGGTATACAAGACCCTCTGTCATCACCTTACTGTGGTATTATGAAAGGAATTTTCCCATGTTCACATGTGATCATGATTGGGTACACGTTAGCTCATGCAAGAACAAGGCATCTAATTTTGCCTATAATTCTATATGTTAAAAAAATTGTTTTTCAGTACTTCCGAGACCTTAAAATATTAGTTATACAAAATGAGAAATAAATTACTCTCAAAAATGTCAAAATTTGGTTATAAGAAAGATCAATTTTACTATGAAAGTACATTAAAAGTTTTTAATCCAAATCACCCATTAATTTTAGGACTATGATTAAAACTAAATTGACTCACTTTTCCATTGACACTCATATCAGCTGAGACTCTGTTCATTTAATAGTTTTGCCTGAAGTTATCTTGTTTTGAACTCAGAATTCCACCTGTTTCTAACCATCCATGCATCTACATAGGTAGATGGAAGTTTCAAAGGGATGTGCTTTAGGTTTACTGGAAAAAGAGTCATCGCGACTAAAACAGAGTGGCTTTGAATTTTGATCATCTGCTTGGGAATTAGAAACTCACCTGCCGAATGATCCTTCTGTCTACAGCACACCTAACATTGACCGCCTGGCAAGTGAGGGAGTAAGGCTCACCCAGCACCTGGCAGCCGCCTCCATGTGCACCCCGAGCCGGGCTGCCTTTCTGACTGGCCGGTACCCCATCAGATCAGGTGGGACAAGGATAATGCAACAACATTTTTGTCTCACAGTATGCTTTTTAATGATTTGTTTTTGCAGCCATTTATAAGAATTCTCAAAACCTCACTTGAAGTGGTAGGAATCTAAGTTGAAGGAAGGTTATGTTGCTATACCTGGGCAATGCAAATGGGTCTGCCTCTAGCCAGGTGCTACTGCAAGTGCTCTCCTGTGTGCATCCCATGACAGGGTTTGGGCCTCTTGAGAGCAATTTTCCAACTACCAAAAAACTCCCATTTCTAGGTACTTGTGAAAAGATCCTTCCAGAGTTCTCTGACATCCTTACAGCTAGCAGAGACCATATAGTAGTTCTGGAAAAAAGTGAGTCAAATCAGTCTCTGGGGGTGAGATTGGAAGACCAGCAAGCACCATTGGAAAGGAGGTGTTGCTACGAAAATCTAAAGGAAATGAGGACTGTACACGTTTTCTTACCACATGCACACTCACACACACACACACACAGTTTCAACATTTATACTTACCAAGTTGAGTATAACGAAAGCAATTTAATATTTTCCTTTGTAGATTACCAAAGAATCAATATTTTGAACACCCATTTAGGATCAACATTGTGAACATGCATTTTTATACCCAGCTAAAATGCAGTGATGCCTGTAGAATCTATTGAGGTGTTCAGGGTTATGAGCCTCTATATGAAATTGCTCCAGACTTATGTGTTTTATTTAATTCTAATATCTGCTTGTAACAATTTTAGTGTATCCACTTTCACAGTCTATTTTTCAACAAGAAAAGAAAAGAAAAAAAAAAAGAAATTCTCTATGAGTTTATTTCTTTCTAAGGAGTAGCTTCTCATCTGGTAAGCTCTGGGGAATGAACTAATCAGGATAACTTAAATTTTATGAAAATTAAGAGTAAATAGACATTGAAACTTCTTGTCTCATGAACACTGATTTATTGTCATTTATTTGTGTTGCTTAAATAACTTCTTTCATGGTTCAAGGTTCTCAATTTTGTTCAAAAGTTATTTGCTTGCCAGATAAGCAGTCACTAAACAATTCAGGACTATGTATGAAGAAGGGGTAAATATGTGAATCTGGGTATTCAAAAATCACATTTGTAAATTCAGGAAATTTTAAGTATCAGTTAGGGTGGAATAAAATTTATTTAACAAAACCAATAAAAAAAATTAACTGACAGATGGATTAGAAATCAAATCATTGCCATATATATATATTTTTTATTATTATTTGACACAATCATTCAGCTTAATCCTTCCTACATATTAAAAATTCCAGCAGAAAGTTCAATACTAAGACAATTTTTAAAAATCTTTTTAATTGATACATCATAAGTATACATATTTATGAGGTACAATTTGATGTTTCAATATATGCGTATGTTGTATGGTGATCAAATCAGGGTATTGACCATATCCATCACTTCAAGAATTTATCATTTCTTTACCAAGGTAATACTCTCATACTTCCCTTAACCAAAGTATTTCTATTTTCCATTAATGACACTATCTTAAGTCCTATTTCCCATTAATGACACGATCTTAAGTTCTATCTTAACTTCTTCCTCTTCTAGGTTAGGACCCTGAAATAAGCATTTATTTTTTCCTCTCTAATCCTCACATCCATTGCTTGTGGTTTTCATGTGAGTCCCTTTTAAGCTACAGGTATATAAATTGATGTAACAGTATAAATATACATTCAGTAATATGGAAAATAGTTGTCACTCCATTACTCTCTTATTCTCCCCTATTAATGGGTCAAAGAGACTGATGTAGTGTCCTGTACAAACCAAAAGATGAGTTTTTACCATTCTCAAACCATGTATCACAAACTCTGCTGTCTACCTGGTGAATTCCAGGATCGAAGGAGTCTAGAGATTAACATACAACATGTTCATGGAATATGAAACTTATGACCATTAATCGTATCCCCCAATATATTAATATATGTTCCTTTTATGATGTAAAGATCCCAAATGTTTCTTATGCTTAAGTTCAGAAGAGCTTGTTTGGAAAAGGTTTCAGTTCACAATAAAATGAAATAAGATAAAGACAAAGTGCTCTTGAACAAAGGAAAATGTTCTCTTAAGAGAATCATAAGAGGAAGGCTGATGAAAACTCTTTAGGGTCATATTTCACTATTCAGATGGGCAAAAATCCAGACTCTTCACAGTTGCTTGCTAGAGGAGACTGTGGGGCTCTCCTAAGCACTGACAAAGTGAAATGTCTTCATAGACCCTCAGGAGGCACTTTGGCATTAAACCCTCTGACTTGGTGACTCTGATTTTTAGAAATTTATCAGTCCTGCTTGCACCTGTTCAAAATGACACATGTGTGACATTATCTGGCATAAAGAAAAATTGGAGAAGTAAACGTAAGTCTTTATCAGTAAGGAAGTGGCCCAATAAATAAATAAATATAATAAATAAATTGTATTTATTGGGTTGTAATTTATATATGTTTATTTTATTTCATTTTATCGTGAACTGAAACATTTTCCAAACAAGTTCGTCTGAACTTAAGAACAAGAAACATTTGAGAATAAATTTTCCTAAGTGAAACAACCCAGGTGCAGAAAGAGAAATACAGCATGTTCTCACTCATAACTGTGAGCTGAATCCATAAATAAACAAGTGAACAGTAAAGAGAGGTGAGGAGAAAGAAAGAAACAAACAACCATCACAGGAATACATTGAACTTTTAGAAAACTAAAGGTGGAAAAGGGGAGAGGAGAGGAAAAGAGATGGGGGCTAATGAGGAATTGGTCAATGGACACTAAGAATGATTGTGTATCATAATGATGAATAAGCTGACTATATTGATCCAACCACCACACGTTCTACACAATTATTGAAAATCAACATTAGAAAAAAAAGAAAAAAATCAAATTGAAAATGAATAAATAAATAAATAAATATATGTAGTTTATATAACCCAATAAATATAATGCAAAGAACCAGAAACATTTGGGAAAATATAATACAAATGCATATAATTTATATAACCCAATAAATATAATGCAAAGGGTTGCATTTTAGGTTGCTAAAGTGAGTTTTAAGCATTTAAAATGCTTTTTTTGCATCTTTTTTTAAAATTATTTTTTAAATTTTTAAAAAATTTTAAAATATTTTATTTTATTTTACTTCTCAATATACATTGTGGTTGATTTATATTCCCCTTTACCCATTCCTCTCACCCCCTTACACGCACCACATCATATCTGTTCACTTAAACAGTTCAAGGAATTTTTATGGTTATTCTGTCTTCTTCCCCCTCGCTTGATTTGTTTGTGTGTCTATTTATTTATTTATTTTTAGCTCCCACCCATAAGTGAGAACATGTGGCATTTCTCTTTCTGTGCCTGGCTTGTTTCATTTAATATAATTTTCTCTAATTCCATCCATGTTGTTGCAAATGGTAGTATTTTGTTCTTTTTTATAGCAGAGCAGTATTCCATTGTGTAGATGTACCACAGTTTCTTTATCCACTCATCTGATGATGGACATTTGGGCTGGTTCCAACTCTTGGCTATTGTAAATAGAGCTGCAGTAAACATTGGAGTACACGTATCCCTTTGGCATGATGATTTCCATTCCTCTGGGTATATTCCCAGCAGTGGGTTAGCTGGGTCATATGGCAGATCTATCTGCAACTGTTTGAGGAACCTCCATACCATTTCCCATAGAGGCTGCACCATTTTGCAGTCCCACCAACAACGTATGAGAGTTCTTTGTTCTCTGCAACCTCGTCAGCATTTATCGTTGAGAGTCTTTTGGATTTTAGTTATCCTAACTGGGGTGAGATCGTATCTCAGTGTGGTTTTGATTTGTATTTCCCGGATGCTGAGTGATGTTGAGCATTTTTTCATGTGTCTGTTGGCCATTTGTATATCTTCCTTTGAGAAATGCCTACTTAGATCTTTTGCCCATTTTTTAAGTGGGTTGCTTGTTTTTTTCTTGTAAAGTTGTTTGAGTTCCTTGTATATTCTGGATATTAATCCTTTGTCAGATGTATATTTTGCAAATATTTTCTCCCACTCTGTTGGTTGTCTTTTAACTCTGTTGATTGTTTCTTTTTCTGTGCAGAAGCTTTTTAGTTTGATATAATCCCATTTGTTTATTTTACCTATAGTTGCCTGTGGTTTTTGGGTCCTATTCATGAACTCTCTACTTCCTGGAGTGTTTTGCTTATGTTTTCTTTAAGAAGTTTTATTGATTCAGGATGTATATTTAATTCCTTAATGCATTTTGAGTTCATTTTGGTATATGGTGAGAGGTATGGGTCTAGTTTCATTCTCCTACATATGAGTATCCAGTTTTCACAGCGCCACTTGCTGAAGAGGCAGTTTCTTTCCCAGTATGTAGACTTGCTGCCTTTGTCAAAGATCAGATGGCTGTATGCGTACGGATTGATTTCTGGGTTCTCTATTCTATTTCATTGATCCGTGTGTCTATTTTTATGCCAGTACCATGCTGTTTTAGCTTTTTTGCATCCTTAAAAAAAGCAAGCACTCTCCAAGAGTAATTTAACAAATCCGTAAAATGATATGGATAGTATTCAGGATAATGTAGGACTCTCTTGTTCCTGTGTGGGATATCCCTGAAAACTTCCAAGAGATTTTTAAGTCTTTACTCTCATCTTTTCAATTTTGTACCAGCTTGATGGATTATCCATTAAAATTTTATACATGCCCTATAAAATATGCATACCTGTAGTTATATGTAAAACTTATAACCAATAAAGTGTAATGAATAATAATTTACTGCATGTTATCAAATGGATAGAAAAGAGATTTTTATATTCACATCAAAAAGAAATGATTAAATTTTGCATTGATGAATATGTTAACTACCCTGATTTGATCATCACACATTGTACACATGTATTAAAGTAGAACTCTGTACCTCACAAATACGTATAATCAACATGTTTCAATAAAAAATCTTCCCATGAGAAAAAAATAAATAAAAGTTATAATGATTTTCCTCAAAAATTATAGGTATGCATTTGCATTTTAAGAGTTAATAGGCATCCTTTTCAACGTAGGCCTTTTTTGTTGTTTTTGAGAAGGGAAAAATGAGAAACAGATTGGCTCACCACACTATTTTAAAGTATTTTGATTTTGTTTTTTCATTCATTCCTTACTTTTATGTGTTGCCTTTCATTCATAGGTTTACTCTAGGCAGTTAAGCCATTTAAATAGGACCTAGGTACCTCAAGACATATGTGGTGTAGGAATTGGATTGAACCTGCACCTGTATTTCAAAATTACAGGTAGCAGTGGACACCCGTAGAAGCCTCTAAACCACCCCAGGAAGGTCCTCCTAGAACATGCTTCTTGCAACAATCAGCAAAGGAAACATCAGACAGAGATAGTTTAGGCATGATCCCATAGGCAATGGGAAGGAGGTGTCCAAAGAGGTTTGACTGGGGGTGAGGACACAGAATAGAGACATCCCTCTGACTATGGGAGTTCAGCTAGTGGACTTTAGCATAGTTCAGTGGGAGCCCTCTACTAAAGTCAAGTCATTCGAAGTCAATATCAGAAAGGTTTATGTTGGTAGAATTATCAGGAGTTGACATTGGAATGGATATGAGAAATGAGGCTCATCGAACAGGAGAATTCAAAAGGAACTCCTGTACTTCCGGGTGGGGTGACTTGGGGGATTATGCTGTCCTTTGCTGAGACAGGTTTGCAGTAGGAACACGTTGGAGTGTGTGTTTGACAGGTGAAGGTTGAGGTCCCCCAGTCTACAGATATCTAGCGGACAGTTGAAGACATGACATCAACTTCGGGAGGAGAGACATGGAGATGTGGGGCTTCACCACACTGATAGATGGGGTTGAAATTTAGAACAGAAGTCCAAGGAGTAGGATGCCCAGTTCCACTGGAATTTCAGATCCTCAACAAACACATTTTTAGTATATTGCCAGTATGCCCCATGCAATATTTGGAATATACTTGTAGAAAAAAGAAAAAAAAAAAACACTGTCATTAATATGAAATGCAGATTAACTGGAGATCTACTGGACTTCCTATATTTAACCTGGCAATCTTAATTCCAAGGAATGCAGTCATCCCTCAGCATCCGTAGGGGATTGGTTCCAGGACTCCCTCAGATAACAAAAATCATTCATATTCAAGTCCCTTATATAAAATGGTGTAGTATTTGCATATAACCTGCACACATCTTCTCATAGACATTAAATCGTGTCTAGATTACTTATAATACCTACAGCAATGTAAATGCTATGCAAATAGTTGTTATACTGTTATTTAAAAAAAATGTATACAGCATTTTTTTATTGTTGTATTGTCACTTTTTTATCAATTTGTTGTTGTTGTTTTTGAGTATTTTTGATCCCCAGTTGGGGATGTGGAATCCACAGATGCAGAGGGCTGACAGTGTTTGCATTTAACAAGGGAGAGGAAGAGAGGTAAGGAAGTAGAGCCAGAAAAAAGGCAAGAGGAAACTTGGGAAAGAGTGGCATTCTGCCCGTGCAGGAGGAGAGAGTTTCAAGCATGTGAGGATGAATCCTGTTATCAGTCCAGACTGTCATTAAATGATGGTGCTAATCAGTTGACCTCTATGAATTTAGGAATGATGTCTCCCTACAACCTGAACCGTGCCCTCACCTGGCTTGGCGGGTCGGGTGGTCTTCCTACCAATGAAACAACTTTTGCCAAGCTACTGCAGCATCGGGGCTACCGCACGGGATTCATAGGTACGTCCTGCAGAACTCTGACCAGGGCAACGTGATCGTGCAAGATTTCCTTTTATTATGGCTAGTCAATGTCCAGGAACATTAGTCCTACACATGCCAGTTCAATTTTCTGTGTGAGATGAGACACGTGGAAAAGGAAGTTATCACATAATTGTTGAGGACCTTCAGTATCTAGGTCACAGTAACAGAAAAATCATGGCAAAGAAAAGCAAACATACTTATCAGTTGTTGCCAACAAAATGAAATATGTTCGTCCCTCGATATCCATGTAGAATTGGTTCCAGGACCTCCTGTGGATCCCCAAATCCATAGATGCTCAGGTCCCTGATATAAAACGGTGGAGTTTTTGCATATAACCCATGCAATCCTCTCTTTTACTTTAAATCATCTCTAGCTTATTTATAATACCTCATACAATGTAAATGCTATGTAAATAGTTGTTATATTGTATTGTTTAGAAAATAACATCAAGGAAACAACGTCTATACATGTGCTGTATAGATGCAATTTTGGCCTCAAATGTTTTTGATCTGCACTTGGTCAAATCCTAGGATGCTTAACCCACAGATACAGAGAGCTGACTGTATTGGGTAGAGGGTGTGCTATGTTTGTAACACCATTAATAGCAAAAAACTGGTACATTTTTAAAGAAGTGCTCTTGAAATTGAGAATGTAAAGAATTTGTATTTGTCAGGTTGAGACAATTACTAGTCTATGTAGATCCCATGATATCCTATGCCCTTTGGGGATAGTGAGCTTGTAAAATAACACATCACCAAGTAAGTGTGTTCTCTAGAATTCTGGCCCAATGCTATATTTCTCTTAGGGGATATTCTATGATCAGATCAGTCTAGGAAGTGCTGCTTGCTTTCTCTCTTCACTATTTTGGGGATTCTCAATGTGAACTGTAAGACACAGTTCTGAGATATCGTCAGTTAAAAATAAAGAAAGAAAGAACTTTGTAATCAGTAGGGCACGTATCGCCATGAAACCTCCAGCAGCGTCCTGTGAGTGGGATCCTCTAGATGAGCTTTGAGCAATGTTCCCACATCTCTAGAGTGTAAGGAAAGCTGTGTTCAAATTCAGTTCTCTTATTAATTAGAGCAATGTCAGGTTTATAAGTCTAGAGAGTGCATTGCTCATGAGTAACAAAAGATCTGAGAAGGACTGAATATGGTAATGTGTACAAACAAATTAGGACATGATTTAACCTGTAGAGTATGTGCTCAACGAAAGGAATTGCTTGTATTACCAGAATGCTTTTGTGTATGATAAACTTCCTTGGATAGTTCACCATTCTCAACTCGGGGCTCTTGGAGAACAGTTCCATCTGTGGAATTTTGTTTATCTTTCCGTGAAACAAAACAAGAGGTTTGGAAGCCACTGCTATTAAAGAACACCGATGTCCAAAGCACAAGATAGGTCAGTGGTATAATGGTCATAAAACAGCCAGGACATGGATTTTGGCTTCCCAGTTAAAACCAGATACCTGAAAAATTTCTTCACATTCATGCAGTTGTTTGGTACCAAGCAAACTGTTTTGTCTGAATACAATACTAGACGCCTCTCCTTCTAGTGAGCCAAAAGGTTCCTGATGCCTGGTTTTATCTGAAAGATGCAAATTGTAGGGAAAAAAGGTATTGGGCCATGTCTAGTAGCTTTCTTAGCATCTCCCCAGGAGGCAACTGAGGATCCCAAGAAAATACCTCCATGGGGAGAGAGTAAAAGCTGTATTTAGCATTTACAAAGGCAAGTCCATGTTCTAGAAACAAACCAACAACATTTAATGCTCGAGGGTATGGTTTTGTTTTTCCTTCAGGAAAGTGGCACCTGGGTTTGAGCTGTGCATCGCGGAATGACCACTGCTACCACCCGCTCAGCCATGGATTTGACTATTTCTACGGCTTGCCTTTTGGACTTCTGAGCGATTGCCAGGCCTCCCAGACGCCAGAGCTGCACCGGTGGCTCAGGATCAAACTTTGGATCTCCACGGTGGTCATTGGCCTGGTCCCTCTCCTGCTCCTTGTCCCCAAATATGCACGCTGGTTCCGGGTTCCCTGGAAGGTCCTCCTGTCCTTTGCTTTTTTCACCTGCCTGTTCTTCACTTCCTGGTACTCTAGTTATGGATTTATTCGACGCTGGAATTGCATCCTCATGAGGAACCACGATATCATCCAGCAGCCCATGAATGAAGAAAGGGTTTCTTCCCTCCTGCTGAAGGAAGCCCTTGCCTTTATGGACAGGTATTTAGCCATGTCTTGCCTGATTTCCTGCAGGGGAATTTTATTTTTATTTCATAGCAGTTGGGTACATCTTCATACTATGGGCTTTTAAAACATTGTTTTTAGGTGGTATTGGTGATATACTTGAATTTTTCCTTTAATCAAATAAAATAGAGTTAAATTTCCTGCAGATCTTGAATGCTGAAGAGGCAAAGAAATGTGTTCTGTTCACACTCCCATTTAAAAAAAAAAAAACACCTGGGATTACTATATTTTAATCCACATAGCTTCAATGTGGATTGGTATCTAAATCAATCGAATCTTTGAGGTGGATTTTTATTTTGCTTGCCTTGGCCACAGCTGGATGAAGACTTCTGTATTTATAGATACCTAGTTTTAAATTGTACATGTTTGATACAAGCTTAATTCTAGATCACAAATTAGCAACACAATAAAGTTGTCGATGTGGATTCTTTTTAAAGTTGATCCTCTGCTCTCTTAGCTGGGTTGAGGGGAAGTGAGTGAAGGGTGATGAGTTATAGCTCCACAGGCTTAATGAGTAGGCAGTGGGACATCATTGACTCACCACAGTGACTGTCGCATTCGTTAGGTATTCTGACACAGCAGTAAGAACAGGGGCACAGCCTCCCATCCTCTGTGACACTAAAATTCAGAACACAAAAAGCAAGATGCAAATGAGAGAAGTTTAGGGTAGTAAGGCTACAAACACCATAAGGTTATTAGCACACCAGCTTTTTCTAGCTTGCTCCCTGCCATCCTGTGTGAGCAGACTCATGGCCCAAAGTGGCTGCTGAAGCTCCAGCCATCATGCATATGTTCCAGGCAGCACTAAGGAAGAGAAGGAAGAAATAAAGAACCACCCTTTCTACACATGGCATGCTATATTTTTACTTATGTGACCTCACTCTCTTGGTTGGTAATTATTCACACAGACACTGCTACATGTAAGAGAGTCTGGAAAGTATATTCTGTATTCTGGGCAAACATGTCCAGTTAAATACTGGAGCTGTGTTTCTGAGGCACACAGGGAGCGTGGAGAGGATGGGGCATCAGAACCTCAGTCCGGTACATCTGGGTGGTCTGTGCTTAGGGTATTATTCTTCCAAACCCATACCTAAGAAACACGTTCACACAACAGATGGAGAGAGTCCATATGGGTTGTATTTTTATTTAAAGCAACTTTATCCATTCTACAGAGATTAAAAGATTTACAAGGATGCTACTTTTTATTAGGTGCTAAGCTGGATACAGGAGAGGGTAAGACTGACTGTGTTAAATATCCTATTGGGAATTCAACTGTTCTAGTATCCCCTATATCCACTTGACATAAATCTTGTGATATTTATGATTCCCATGAGTGGTGTTGTTAACTAAAGTGCATAGAGAACCTTTGTTGACGATGATGAGGTCTTTCGACTGATGCAGAATCATATCAAAATGGGGCAAATGTGTTTATGACGGAAGGTAATTCTGCCAACTTTCTACCCCTTAGGTATAAACGGGAACCTTTTCTCCTCTTTTTTTCTTTCCTGCATGTGCACTCTCCACTTATCACCAAAGAGAAATTTGTTGGGCACAGTAAATACGGATTGTATGGTGATAATGTAGAAGAAATGGACTGGATGGTGGGTAAGTATTTATTAACACAACTTTAAATATCTGAGCCATGGGCTGAAGAAAAAGAATTCTGGACGAGGGTACTTCCAAAAGTTCACAGAAACATGTGCATTATCTTTCAATTCTACTTTTCCACAAACGTTTTCAAGTATTCTTGCATCGATTGTCTCGAATAACATCCAGTCCCTTGCACATCACGGAAGCAGATAAATATTTCTTTCACTAAATCGAATTAAAAACTGGCTTTTAGTTGTTCAAAAATACCAGTGAAATATATTTCTCAAGATGACAGTCACGGTTTTCCCATCTTTAAAATAGCCACTGTCCTGAAAAACTCATTAGCAAGATAAGGGTGTACTGTAAAGAAAATCATCATTCCTACTTATTCTGGTGAGTATAAAAGGAAACATGTTATTCTTCTTAGTTAATTCTGCAGGAAATGCTTAGAAATTTGGGATGGGAATTTACTAAAACCAAAGCCATATTTTTTTTTTCAGGGTTGTGGTGGTCAGTATAGAAAATAGCGCTAAAGCTTATAAATTAGAAGGTGGGGGCTGGTGAGGAGTTAGCTGGCAATAGGTGTGGCACACATACCGAAAACTAATAATAATTGTGCTATTTTGAATTGCATTTTTTCCCACCACATGCATGACAGAGTATCTTTCATCTTAACGAGGCCATTTTGCTTTTGAAACACAGTACAATTTTTTTTTTTTTAAATTTTCTCCTGGGAGTGGAGACTTTTGAATTCTTTGCTGACTTTAAAAAAAAAAATAGCAATTTTAATACGTACATTTAAAGTGGGTTAAATAATCAAATTCTATTAGACATAATATGTTTTGACTCTGTAAACCACAGTCCAGTTACAGAACGCTAGTTAAAATCATTTAAGAACTAGTGTATCTTATAAAACAAAGAGGACGAATCTCATCCTTGAGAGTATTTCTCCTTTGTATTTCTATGATGTGTATTTATCTAAAATATCTGGAAAATATTGTAATACTGTGAGTCTACACTTAATCCCAAAGAGAATCCAGAATACCAAGAAATCACGTTGTCAGGCTTTAAGCAGAAATGGGGTGGGGGAAAGTACTAATAGGGACAACTAATAGGACTAATTAAAAGGAACTAATCCCTAAGGAAAGTCCTTTTTAAGCTCATTAAATTGAAACTAAACTTCTCTTACTTAGTTTAATCTTTATATTGTGGAATACACAGTTATTGTTGAATTCCATGATAGGTTAACACACACCTTGAAACCTGTTACCTTAAAAACAACTAAAACATTGTAGCTTTTGTGTAATTGTAGGATTGTGATTTGTTTTTTTTTTTTTTCCTCTCTCCCCTTTGAAATGACTTTACTGCAATAATACCTTTAGTGAAATGACAGTTTTCTACAAAGGGAATTTCTGTTAAAGCCTGTATCTGTTTGCCACTAACAAATAATGATGGTTATTCTATGATACATATGAATACATGATTCAGGTGTGTTATAAGAGCTAGTAAGTTCATTTAGTAAGTGGCTAACATTGTATTACACAGGAGAAATGAAGAGTAGCTATTTTTCTGCAAAACTTCTTTCAAATATTCTGAATTTTACTCCATTTCTCAAAAATTCTACCAAAATCAGAGACATATCAAGAATCACAGAGGCATCTCTGCATGTACTATTTTCCTATTTAACAATATGATTACAAAACTCAAAGGGTTAGTAATTTATTAAGCTTACTCAGAAATAAGCCATAATACTGCTGTATTCAATATGGCATGCAAAATGAATTTACTGAATGCTTAATAATTCAGTAACTTTATGAACATTCTATTCAAAGAAATTTGTGCCTGTTTTAAAAACCCTTTTAATCAATTTTTATTATTGGCTTCTTTCCAGGTATCTCTGGTGCAAGCTCTTGTGATTATCTTTTTGCCATTAGTATTTACATATGCACATATATGTATACATTTTACACGTTACAAACACAAAGATTTACTTATATATATATTCATGCAAGTGGAAAAAAGGATTTGCAGCTATTTTATTTTACATGGTATGAACTACAAATTCCTCTTATGCTTAGGACTAGAGCCGGATCTAATGGGAACTGTTAATTTACATACCTTTATTCTCCTACCAGAAAGCCTTTATAATCTTTTCTCTTATAAACCCAGGGTTAGAGAAACAAAAAACAAAAAAACAAAACAAAACTTAATTTCTACCTGCAACATTTCTAAAACTTAATGTTGCTTCTAAAATGAATCACTTTTAAACAACATTTAAACAGAAAGATTAATGAGTTTGCACATAAACAAAGTTTTCTGTGCAGATAGTTACATTTTCTTTACGTCTTTGGAAGCAACAAGATTATAGCACAAAGGTGACGTACTGGACAGTGTTATCTGTTGACTGGCAAATGCCCAACGTGAATCAGAAATTCAATTAACATTGTTTGGAATGTGGCTAGATTAGCTTTCTAGCTGGATTTTCCAAAAGCTGTTGGCCCTCTTAAGGAATTGTCAGCACAATGAAAGAAAAAGTTTGCTGAGTCTAGCAAAATATGTTACCTTAACCACAACCCAAACAGCAAGATGAACCCGCAGTTGACATGCAGACTTAGGTAGCAGCAGGGGACAGCAAATTATTTTATTTATTTATTTTTTTAGTGGTTGCTGCTCCCTGGAGGAGGTATATGCCCCTGCTTATTTATTCCTGGAGATGTAATTTTTCACACTACATTCATTTTTTTGTTAGTAATCATGAGTTCATTTTAACTGTTGAATGTAATTTGCATTGGTTCTTTGAATTGTGGGCAATGATGATATTATATGTCCTTACATGAATTGTAGAATAAAATCTATTTTCTTATTATATAAAAAATAATATAAAGTATTATATAATAAAATTAAATTCATAACAAACTAATATTTTATATTATTATATAATAGTGTATTTTATATGCTAATTACTTATGTATGATTAATCAATATAGTAGTCATTTATTACTTATATTATAGTATTATTTATATAATTTTATTATATTAATATCATAATATATAATACTGATAGTATCAAATTATATAAAATAATAGTGTTATATTTACATATTTATATATATAAATAATGCATATTTTGGTAAAATATAATATATTCGTTAGATATTATAATTAATAATAGATTAATATTTTATTTTATGTTTAACATTATGTTTTTCTATACGTCATATATTATTATACAGTACATTGATATATAACATATTATATAAGAAAATAGTGATTATTTGTTACATTGACTACTAGAAAATAGTAATTATATATCACCATATGACAATTTTACATAGTGGCATTGTGTAATATATTGTATGTTATATTATATTACATATTATATTAATCATTATAATGTTATTATATGATAATTAATTATTATAATATGTTATTTATCTCATATTAAAATATTGATATGGTATAATAATCATAATAAATATATTAAATATTTATATATAATATTCTATTTGTAATTTTGCAAAAAATTATTTAGAATGATAATAAATAATATGTATTATAAATATTAAAATACATTTTATGATTGATTTTATAATTTATTATGTTTCAATATATAATAATAAATTAAGCATTTTTAATATATAACATTATATATTAATATGTATTTATTAGAAATATATACCACATATTTATATATCATATAATAAATATGTAGTTAGTGTAATACAGAATTACAAATATATAATATTGTATATCATATTGTATAAAATATGTATTACTTATGCTATACATAGAATAGCATGTTTTATTGTGTTATATAATAGTTAAAGATACAACATGAATTCATACATAATATAATAACGTTTTAATTATGTCTTGTGTAATAAATGCATAGGAAAAATACAAGATAAGGTAACAATGGTGCATAGAGAGAGATAAAAGGTTTCTTGTTTCTCACCTTCACCAGGTAAAATTCTTGACGCCCTGGACCGGGAGCGCCTGGCCAGCCACACCTTGGTGTATTTTACCTCTGACAACGGGGGCCGTCTGGAGTCTCGGGATGGGGCAGCCCAGCTGGGCGGCTGGAATGGAATCTACAAAGGTGACTCGGCACAGAGAACTGAGGCCTTTCAGTTTCAAATTAGCGCAGGCTCTGCTTAGTTTGGGTTTTTCTTTGCTTCATTTGCCATGCAATTGGGAGATTTTTGTGTGCATTATACTCTTATGAGACTAGATGCAAAAAGGCTGCAAATTATGGGAGAATCCCCAAGAACTTGAAATAAAAATGTCTGAAACAATGAAAATATCACGAGAGTAAATACATAGCATATCAGTTACCATCTACTGCAGGGGTTTCTCAGCCTTGGCATTAGTGACATTTGGTGGCTGCATGATTCTCTGTGGAGGTGGGGCAGGAGGAGTCTGTCCTGTGCACTGTAGGGTGTTGAGCAGCATCCCTAGGCTCCACCTGCCAGGTGCCAAGAGCACAACTGAAATGTCCTCAGACATTGACAAATGTCCCCTGGGGGCAAAATAGCCCACTTGAGAACCATTGCCATAGATAGATAATTGATTGGTAGATAGAAAGATAGTGTGATGGTAGATAGGAAGATATAGGTCATAGATGATACATATAGATAGATGATGAATAAGTGAGTTAGACACAGATTTAGATAGATGATTGATAGATCAATAGATGGTAGATACATAGAGACAGACAGGCAGAGTTTCTCCTGCACAGTTTCTCAGCCTCAGCACTGCTGACATTTGGGGGCTGGATGATTGTCTGTTGGGGGGGGACATCCTGTGCACTGTAGGGTGCTGAGCAGTATCCCTGGGATCCACCCACCAGATGCCAGCAGCACCCTCCACTCCTGCAAAGTGGTGACAGCCAAAAGTATCTCTTGACATTGCCCAGTGCCCTCTGAGAGGCAAGGTCATTTATGCGTGAGACCACTCCTCTAGAATAGTACTCCCTGGAGAACCCAGATTCACGTTCTTGATTTAATAAAATCACTCATACTGTCATTATGCTTTGACGAGTGTGACACTGCTCAGGAAGGGTTATTATTTTTTTTTTCATGCTTGAGGGCACTGGTTTATTTTTTTTTATTATTTTTTTTCGTTAAATTTTTATTTTGTCAATATACACTGTATATGATTATTATGGCCCATCACTGACACCTCCCGCCCTCCTCCCTCTCTCCCCCCCCCCCCGAGAATGTCCTTTCCGTTTGCTTGTTGTAACAACTTCAAAAAGGTAGAGTTGTTATATCTTCTTCCCTTTGCCCATTTTTTGATTGGGTTGCTTGTTTTTTTCTTGTAAAGTTGTTTGAGTTCTTTATATATTCTGGATATTAGTCCTTTGTCAGATGTGTATTTTGCAAATATTTTAGATATACAAATGGCCAACAGTCATATGAAAAAATGCTCAACATCACTCAGCATCCGGGAAATGCAAATCAGGACCATGCTTTTAGTGTCAAGTCTAAGAACTCTTTGTTTAGCCCTAGATCTCAAAGATTTATTCCTATGTTTTTTTCTAAAACTTTCATAGTTTTATGTTTTACATTTAAGTCTATAATCCTTTTTTATTTAATTTTTGCATAAGCCGGATGCTGAGTGATGTTGAGCATTTTTTCATATGACTGTTGGCCATTTGTATATCTTTCAGGAAGGGTTATTCATGTAGGGCGGTGCCTACCTCCTCACAGGACGCAGGTTCTCCTGGCATTCAGTTACTCAGCAACTCCACGGAGCTTGCTCTTAGGGCATCACAAAGCTGTGCCAACAAAAAGCCTATTTAAAAAATAATTTGGTATTTGCTTTTCCCTTCCTATCCCCTAAGCATAAGCACCCAAGTAAAAAAAAAAAAATATATATATATATATTAAAAGTGTCTCAAAGCCATCATCATTATAAAAACCAGAACGTTTGGACTTTCTTATATCTGATAAAAAAGTGTGTGTATTTTACTTACATATTATAAATCTAATGTATTCACTGTATAGATTCATTTTGTATGTCATCAAGTGAGATGCAATTATTATAATAGCAATTATTATAATAGATGTGAATACTATAAAATATTATAATTATTATAATTGTGTACGTGTAAAACTCACATCCTCAAACATACACATCAAATGAGATATGATTATTTTAATAGGAATTATTATAATAGAAGTGAATATTAGAGAATAGTATAACAATTATTATAATAGTGTGTGTGTACAACTCACATCCTAAAAAGTACACATCAAATGAGATGTGATTATTATAATGGTAGTTATTATAGCGGATGTGAATATTATAGAAAATTATAATAATTATGACTGCATGTGTGTGTATGTATAAAGCCCATATCCTAAAAAGTACACATAGCAACAAGACAGGCAAAATTGTTGTGAGCAGTTTCACCTTTTGGGACAGGTCCCCAGCTCCCCAGTGTGCCTCCTATTGGGGGTTGAATACATTAGACAGGTAAGTGTACACGGGTTGAATACATTAGACAGGTAAGTGTACACGGGTTGAATACATTAGACAGGTAAGTGTACACGGGTTGAATACATTAGACAGGTAAGTGTACACGGGTTGAATACATTAGACAGGTAAGTGTACACGGGTTGAATACATTAGACAGGTAAGTGTACACGGGTTGAATACATTAGACAGGTAAGTGTACACGGGTTGAATACATTAGACAGGTAAGTGTACACGGGTTGAATACATTAGACAGGTAAGTGTACACGGGTTGAATACATTAGACAGGTAAGTGTACACGGGTTGAATACATTAGACAGGTAAGTGTACACGGGTTGAATACATTAGACAGGTAAATGTACACGGGTTGAATACATTAGACAGGTTTGGTGAGCTTGTCAAGCTTTTGTTATAACAAAGAGGGATCTGAGAACCTGCGCTGGCTGTGAACACTGGTTACACCAGTGAATGTGTAACCAGTAAATGTTGCCTCGTTTTCAAGGAGGAGAACCCTGTCTTGTGTTTTCTTTGTGATTCATTCTGCCTGTCAGATGGATCTGCGCACAAAAGGCATCCAATGAGCATTTCATGTAAGAAAACTTTGTGGTTTTTTTCTGCCTGGAGAAGCTCATATATATATATATATATATATATATATATATATTTTTTTTTTTTTTTTTTTTCTTAAGGATTCTATATGATCTTGACTGTGTCATTTGGCACAGGGACATATTTCTATTTGGCAGCAAGTGACTCGATCTCAGGATTGGTCCTAAAGCACAGGTTTATGGTTTGTTTTGTGCTCAGACACACGCAAAGGGATCTTTGTCCAAGAAGTGATTCTGAACACTTTTGCTGATTCTAAATTCCCCCATTCTTCCTCCATATGGAAACTACCAGATAAAATAAGTCCTTAGCTTGTGCTTTGAGGATCACCACAACTCAGAGAGGACCTGCCTTTCTAGTGTTGGTTTGGACGCCAGTGAAGGGTCCATCTTTTTAATCTTTATCTTTTCAAGCCCAATCTAATTCCAATAAGGATTAAAGACTTACTTGGCTTCTGTCTCATAACACAGCAAGTCTGTGGCATTAATGGGCGCCTACTAGATACTGTCTTACAACAGCACTTATTTTTATTTATTACCACTGAATGCATCACTTGCAGGCTAGAAGCTTAGAACTAAAACTTCCAAAGGACAGGAATGACACCTCCTGGCTATTTTGTATCTCTCTGCAAATGTAATGCACCAGCAGGAGAATAGAAACAAAAAGTTACACCCAGATTTAACTTCCATCTCAGAACAGAATGATGTCTTTGGGTCTAACTCATCTTCGGTTGTAATCTTTGGTTCTAGGTGGCAGAGGGACGGGAGGGCTGGAAGGAGGCATCCGCGTCCCAGGAATATTCCGGTGGCCGGCAGTCCTGGAGGCTGGGAGAGTGATCGATGAGCCCACCAGTCTGATGGACATTTATCCCACGCTGTCTTACATCGGTGGAGGAATATTGCCCCAGGACAGGTATGCATGCGAGGCTTGCATCTGATCTAGAGAGATATATTTGTCATATATGAGGCTATACTACACAATTTGTATGGGTGCATGTGTGCACGTGTGCTTAGTTATCAATATTCTGCCCGTAGGGACAGAATTGTTTCTCCCAAGATAGACTATCGTGTCTGTTTCCATCTTAGAACATGCCTTACCACTCTCTCTTATGTTATACTTATGCACCGTTGTCCTCATGGCTGGGCTCTGAACTTTGTTTTTTCTATCCTTCACATTCTTTTTTCTTTGGCGTTTGGTTGGTGTAGGAATATGCACCCTTGACCTTGATGTTTCACACTGCACTCTAACCAACTGAGCTAACGGGCCAGCCCGCAACTTCTAGATCATTAAGCAAATATGTGTTGACTGAATGCCAAAATAAGTGCACAAATTGCATGTGCGCTGAGTTGTGCCATGCTTTCTCTTTTGCACTTTGTGGTCTTTAAGATGTTTGAACACATCACGTGCTTTAAGGGTGCCATTCCGGTGGGCAGGGTGGTCTCTATTCACCAAGCTGAGGACTTCCACTTTCATCAAAAGGGTACAGAGAGGTCAACGTTCCCAATCCACGGTGTGAATTCATGTTGCTTTGCAAGGGATCAGAATCATATTTCCAGGTGCTCACTTTTCCCGTGGTCTCAGAAAATGTGCAGGAAGTTTTAGCTCTGTTTCCTTTTTGTGTTTGTTATAAAATGAGTGGAGATGCACCATAACTCTTGCAAATCCTTTCTTCCTCTGCTTCCTCTCTTTCCCACTCCTTTTCCTGTCATAACACCTGTGACCCAACCATGCCTGTCTCAACATTTTCTGCATGTTCCCATCTCCCCCAAGGGTGATTGACGGCCGGAACGTCATGCCTCTCCTGGAAGGCAGGGTCTCCCACTCGGAGCACGAATTCCTCTTCCACTACTGTGGGGTCTACCTGCACGCGGTCAGGTGGCATCAGAGAGATTGTGAGTATGAAGACCGTGGACATGGGGAAACACTAAACACACATGGTCCCTGTCACCATGTGCAAATATCACCCAGCCGTAGTGGATCTTTTCTCCTGGGAAAGTTGCTTAAGCACATGTCGCACTGCAGGAGGATTTTAGAGACGGGTGTGTGGGTGTGTGATTTGTACCCAAAGGGTTTTCACTTATGGTGGTAACTAAATGATGCCAAAAAGAGTTCAATGCCATTGAAATATTTTTATTGCTTAGATTTCCCAAAAGAAAAGGACATGCCCTGCCATTCAGGGCCACGGGGGAAAGTACCCAGTTTTGGCCCAGAGCAGGAATGAGCAAAGGGCCTAAAGCTACAGTGTTTATTGGGGTTTCTAAGGTAAAGGTAAGACAAGATTGGCTAGATTGAATAGTTACTGCAAGTTTTGAGGCCTGGGGACTGTCCTTGGCTCTCTGGCATCTGGCTCTGGGTTGATTTATGGCTGGGGAAATATTATCTTGGTGTGTGAGAGTTTAAAGAAGGTGGCTGTCTTGCATAGGAGAGGCATGCTCCCAGGTAAGTTGATGATTATCTTTAGGAATTAGCTAGCCCTGGGAGTGGTCATCTCTCCCCGTATCTGTAAAGCTCTGCAAGATGTCAAAACATCCTAGGATAATTTTTTTAAAAGACATCATTAATACAGTGTATTTGTGTTGGGTGGGTGCGTGCACATGTGTGCACCACTCATGTGTGCACCACTCATGTGTGCATGAAAGAGAGACAGAGACAGAGAAAGAGAGAACATGAATATAGTCTACTCTCCATATCTGTGGGTCCTGCACCTGTGGATTCAACCAACTACAGATCGAAAATATTTTCTGAAAAATGTTGTGTCTGAACTGGACATGTGCATACTATTTTTCCTGTCACTATTGCCTGAACAATACATTATAGCAACTACTGACATGGCTCTTACACTGTATTAGGTATTACAAGTAATCTAGAGGTGGTTTAAATTATACTGGAGGATGCATGTGCATTATTCGCAAATATTAGGCAATTTTATAGCAGAGACTTGAGCTTCGTGGATTTGGGTATCTGCAGGGGTCCTGGGACCAATTCCCCATGGATACAGAGGGACGACTGTGTATACATGACAAAGGATGACAAGTAATTAGCAACACTTCAGTCTGGCCTATGCAGCCTTTATGGCAACTTTTATTTCTAATATCCTGGTGGCTTTTTCTGTTCCATCTTCATGCTATAGGAGTCAGGCAAACAAATATAAACTAACAAATGATATTAATTTCTGTATATCTGTAACAAAAACCCTATTGGAAATATTGGATGATATTCCAGAATTCTTACTTGATTGGACTTGATTTGGAGGGAAAATAGGTATTTTCTCTCAGGTCGTCAGATCTATCTTCCTGTCCATGTGGATGAGTCTCTCACTTAAAACAATCACAAAACAGCAATAAATAAAGAGGAATCTCTTTCTTTTAGATTCTGTATTGGTTAGGAACATGTTCCATCGTAAGTAATAGAAGGAAACAGTTCCCCAAACAACATAAACCTCCAAAATTTAACTGCCAAAAAAAAAATTTGTTTGAATTTTTCATAATAAGAATCTCAGAGGTTGGAAGGACAGGGGTGATACAGTGTTTGACACCATGATCAGAGACCCAGGCTCTTTCTCTATAACCACTTGGCCATTTCTGGCAATGCTAGCTTTTATTCTGATGCTCCTTACCTTACGGTTGCAAAGTGGCTGCTATTTCACCAGGCATCACTTCTGCAGTCCATGCAGGAACGAGGCAAAGAGAGCAGGAAGGAAATGATCCAGCCAGATGACTTAATCCCATTTAAAAGAAAAGCACAGCTTTTCTGTAAGACCCCACCAGCAGACTTCTGTGTAAGGCTCACTGGACAGAGTCTGGAAAACATTTATGCTGTTTCCGTCTAAAGCTGACCTCTGGAAATAGGTGTGCTCACCATTTCATAAAGAAAGAAAGAAAGAAAGAAAGAGAGAAAGAGAGAAAGAGAGAGAGAGAAAGAGAGAGAGAGAGAAAGAGAGAGAGAGAGAGAAAGAGAAAGAGAGAGAGAGAGAGAGAGAGAGAAAGAGAGAAAGAGAGAGAGAGAGAAAGAGAGAGAGAGAAAGAGAGAAAGAGAGAAAAAGAGAGAGAGAGAGAAAGAGAGAGAGAGAGAAAGAGAGAGAGAGAGAAAGAGAGAGAGAGAGAAAGAGAGAGAGAGAGAAAGAGAGAGAGAGAGAAAGAGAGAGAGAGAGAAAGAGAGAGAGAGAGAAAGAGAGAGAGAGAGAAAGAGAGAGAGAGAGAAAGAGAGAGAGAGAGAAAGAGAGAGAGAGAGAAAGAGAGAGAGAGAGAAAGAGAGAGAGAGAGAAAGAGAGAGAGAGAGAAAGAGAGAGAGAGAGAAAGAGAGAGAGAGAGAAAGAGAGAGAGAGAGAGAAAGAGAAAGAGAGAGAGAGAGAGAGAGAGAAAGAAAGAAAGAAAGAAAGAAAGAAAGAAAGAAAGTGAGAGAGAGAGAAAGAAAGAAAAAGAAAGGAAGGAAGGAAGGAAAGAAGAAAGGAAGGAAAGAAGGAAGGAGGGAAAGAGAGAAAAAGAAAGAGAGACAGAAATAGAGAAAGTGTGGAAGGAGCAGAGAAAGAAAAGGAGGAAAAGGAAGCAGAAACAGAAGAGAGTAGAAAGACGGATTGATCTTTACAAATGACCTTTGTCAATTTCAGATCTGAAAGTGGTGTTTGGCCTTAGACAATTTTCCAGTTAACTTATGCTAAATCAGATCAAGGTAGAGTTTTGAACTGTAATTTCCATGATTAGGTCGGCCACCTGGGTAGTAACGATTATCTCCAAATGTTCTTATGATAAGATGAAAAAAAATCCTTCAGGATCATAGTAAAACTGTGCATTGTTATTATCATTAAGGAAATGCAATTGCTGTGCATCATTCCATGCTGGAGATTATCAATCGTTAGGAAAAGCATTTGAGAAATATAATATATTTTTTATTGGAAAGAGTCCTAATTCAACAATAAGTACAGCATCACAGTGGAGCTGTGTTTTCCAGGTGCAACCGTGTGGAAGGCTCATTACGTGACCCCCAAGTTTTACCCAGAAGGAAGGGGTGCCTGCTATGGAAGTGGAATATGTTCATGTTCTGGGGATGTGACCTATCACGACCCGCCACTGCTCTTTGACCTCTCAAGAGACCCTTCGGAAGCCCTACCGCTTAACCCAGACAACGAAGCAGTCTTTGACTCAGTGATCAAGAAAATCGAGGCAGCTGTAAAGGAGCATCGTAGGACACTCACGCCTGTCCCACAGCAGTTCTCTGTGTTCAACACCCTGTGGAAGCCATGGCTGCAGCCGTGCTGTGGGACCTTCCCCTTCTGTGGCTGTGACAAGGAAAATGACATCCTACCTGCTGCTCTTTGAGCCGTGAGGAGCACTTGTTATGCACCACAAACATGCTTTTGCAATGGTCACAAAAGCAATGCTCAGCTGACCAGTTTGTCCCATTTGGAATCAAACATGATGGCCTCAACCATTGCTCTATCCAGTTTTAATTCTTTCTGCAAGTCACGTCCAGGAGCTCGATGAAATGAAAGTGGGTGTGCACAGCCAGCAAGCCCAGAGAGAAAAAATTGCATAATTTTTTTTTAATATATAATTTTGTCATCGTTAAAGGAAAAGGACAAACCAAGGTGACCTTTGGCAGGTTATTGTGGATCTTTGGTTCCATGAAAATGATTCACAGAAGTAGCCAGTGCAATGTTCTTGTCTTGAGTGGTTAAGTTAGAAACTTTTACAGCAACCCTTTCTTAACCTGTGGTTTTTCTTTCCGTGATTTCAGTTACCTGAGGTCACCTAGTTCTAAAATAGTAAATGGAAAGTTACAGAAAGAAACAATTCATGAGTTCTAGTCCCAAATGGTGAATGGAAAACTCCAGAAACAATCATAAATTCTAAATTGCATGCCATGATGAAACCACGGGCCAATTCATTTTGCCACACCTGGGACATGAATCGTCTCTTTGTACAGCATATGCACACTGTAGAAGCTACCCACCTACTAGTCACTTAGCAGCTGTCTCGGTTATAAGGTCGACTTGTCATGGTCTAGCAGTGCTTGTGTTCAAGTATAACTCTTATTTTACTTAACAGTGGCCTCCAAGTGCAACCACAGTGACACTTGCATATTGTATACACTGAAGAGAAGCTGGAAAGGGCTACCTTGAATTGAAAACGTGAACGTGTTTTCTTAAGGAAAGGAAAACACATTCTGTGCTGGTGTTGCTAAGATCTGCAATAAGGACACATCTTTTATCCATGACATTGTGAAGAAAAAAAAAAAGGAATTCATGCATAGCATGTATTATACAGGGTTCAGTACTGTTTGTGGCTTTGAGCGTGCACCGCAGGTCTTGAAATGTATCCCCTGCAGATAAGGGGTGACCACTGTACTGCGCTTTAGAACTGCCTCAAACCCATGTCATAAGCCACAGCAGGACAATCCTCACCAGACCCCCCTCCACCGCTTCGCCTTAGTGAAAACCTGGCTCCTAGTTCACCCAGAGTGAGACTTGACCTGCCGATCTCTAGACTATAGTATGCTTGGTTTTTCACACCAAACTCCAGCATCCACCCAAACCATCGTCCCCTCAATACAAACATAACTAACTGTAAGAGACAAATGTTGGTCTGGACACTGGTTAAAAATGGCAAGACGTTTCATTCCAGCTACTGCAGCAGGGATGAGAGACTTTAGCACAGAACTGAGTTCCAAATCGCCAACCAAGAGCAGTCTAGAAGGGTGGACAGTGGGTGTGAAATTACAAAGAAGAGACATCAGGGGTAGAACGATTCTTGCTCAACTGACTTAAGACTCTTGCTAAAGACTTAGAAATCCAGGGTAGGGGGTGAGGAACTTGATCAGATACCAAAGGTGGCAGGGCTCTTGCTAAACCGAGTTAGCAGGATTTATTTTTTCAAACCTAGCTTGGCAAAGGTGGACATAGAAGTGCAAGGTTGAGATCTAATGGAGAAGGCAGCTCAGAGGAGCCTGACTTAAGGTTGGTCAAGGAAAGAGTCGTCCTCAACACCACAACCTAAAGGACAACTGCCATAGGAACATCTTTTGCAATTTCTGAAGTTGGAAAGTTACGTATTGTACGCACAGTTGTCCTGAATGACTCTTCTTCCATGCTGTTCTCAAATCACGTGTGTGGTGTGTGCATGTGTAGAAAGTAGCCTGCAGGTGTGCATATGTAGAAAGTAGCCTGCAGGTGCCCATAGAAGCTGCAAATCCATCACTTCAACATTCAATTCTGCAATCTCTTATCCCTCTTCACATAATACCCTTCTCATGCATGCTGACCCGAATGAATGAATCAATTAACTACCCTTCCTCCCTACTAGTGTCCAGGAGCTGTGAGATCAACGTTTCTCAACTACTTAAACAATGACTTTGGACATGTCCCAATCTATTTATTCTTCGGTATCTTGCTAGAAATGTGTCCCTGGTGTTCTCATGAGCCCCTTTCCATCAGAAAGAAATCTGTATGAGTGAAGGGACTTTGTTTTGTTCCATGTAAATCCAGGGTGTATGCTGGTAGATGCTTAACAACCAGGCTTGTCCGTGTCAAAGAGCCAAAGTGAGCTAGTCTGGACAATCTAATCTTTTTAGAGACATAAAAAGTGATAAAGAAACGTTAAGACTCTGAAATTGGCTGTCTGCTTTTGCGTCCTTTCTATTTACCAGCTGGGGGAAAATTAACATTGAAGAACTTCTGTCTAATGTAATGTCTCATCTTTAGAATTGCTGTAACAGCAAGCATTTCATGGTGTAGTTGCAAAGATTAAATAGATAAATACACATAAAGCACTTACAAGAGGCTAGAACAAGCACTTAAAAAATGATAGTGATTTCCTTTCTTTTTTTTTTTTTTTGGCAGCTGACTGGTATAGGGATTGAACCTTGGACCTTGGTGTTATCAGCACCACACTCTAACCATGAGCTAACCAGCATATCAGTCATTTGACTTTATTTATTGCAAGGAAAACTGAGGTTGAATATTGTTAACCCAGGACATGGATTCCGAGGTGCTACTTAGATGTGTAAATAAGAGTTGACTAACAAGATAGCTGAGGTGTCTTCTTACGTCATCTTTGTTGGGACTTGAAAAGCTGTAACTTTGAAGAAGATAAAGAGAGAAGGTGTTTGTGTGTGAGAGAGAGAGAGAAACATCATCCGGGGACATTCCGTACTGGGAGACCCATACGAAAAGCCTTTGAAAGGTGAGTTCCGGAAGGTTGCTCAGAGATTTCCTGGGGTTGTAGCTCTGTCAGTTGTCAGTCTCGTTTCGAGAACCAACTGTCCTTTTTGATATTTTCCAAAAACTCACTGCAATATTTGGACAATATATATATTTATTTGGACAATCGTCATGGTACTGAGAAGGAGATATAAGAAAGATAACTCCAGGTGGCCTTTATGTTTGGGTGCCCTGCCTGTGGGTCTCCCAGAACATGCTTCTTAGGAATGAAAAGAGAAAAGAAATGAATGCACCATTTTTGTTTTTTACAGAGTGTTTCTATTTCATGGGGTAGAGTTAGAAATGAGGTCCAATGCTGAGAAAGGAAAACGAGAAAGTTTCTTTTTATTTCCTTTGGAGGATCCTGGGATGAAGACAGATTTCTCAGTGCTTTGCAGTATGCAGTATGCCTTTTGTTTAAATTGACCGTAATGTCCCCTAATTGTATTAAGCACACAATAGCACAGATATAAACAATTTGTGTTCATATGTGTTATGGTACGTGATTCATGCTTTAACAAAAAACCAAAAATGTAACAAAAAAATAAAGGCTTATTTGTAGAATTGTTTAGGATTGTAGAAGCCAGAAGATCTTTACCTTAATGTTAATTCAGTACACTCGAGGGTAATAGATTTATTTTGTAGAGAATTATGTCTCACGTCAAGAAAAAAAAAAAGAAAAAGAAAGTAACCTGGATGTGTGCACTGCAGCTCTGGTATTTGCTTGAGAGTATATTCTAATTCTATTATGTTCAATGAAAACACCATTGCCAATGTGAAGAACATAAAAAATTGGTCAAAATTTATAAATATGTAAACCTTAATGACTGTTAATAAAAAATAATTTTTAGGTCTTAATGAAGTCCCTAGAGAATTCCAACTAGAGATATTTTAGTGCTAGTGTTTCTTTTGTTTTTCCTTAACCATGAAGAAAATGGGCATTTCAAATATTCAAAGAATACAAATTCATATTGCAGGTACTATGGCTTTAACAATATTTTTATGAAGATATTCTTTTAAGTGTATGTGACTATGCCCATTTTGTAGGTGACACAAATAACTGTTAGGTTGTATAAGGAATCTGCACAATTGTAAATCTATCAAGATGTGCAGATTTCATTTCATCTCCCCATTATGTCTGTTGTAAAATACAGTGAATATTCTACTACGCTAAAATGCTGCTAATAAAGGGTTTTTGAATGGCACCATGTGTTTCTGATGTATGTATCACTTTACTTTGAAATGACAAGAAACAACTTGAGATTAAGGTGTTGAGGTTTTGAACCCAAGCAAAGAAACTACATCTGTCTACTGTCTCGAGTCTTATTTAGAGCCTCCAAGTATGGTCCGCTTTCCTCCTTGTAGAAATCTGGGTGGGTGGGGGTCGGGGGGGAATAAGGGAGAAATTCCACTTTCTATGATAAACAACTAGAAACTTAGATAAATGCATAAAGTGATTGTTCTCAGATATTGGGCAATAGGCAGAACAGAACCGTGATGGAAAAAGAGAAATAAACAAGATAAAAAAAAATACTGTTGCCTAGGGGTCATTATTTGCACCAGAGCACAGGAGACAGAAACCAGAACAGAGCATAGGGATCCTTCTAGGCTGAAGGAACAGAGACCAGATGTTGGGAGACCTGAGGGGTGCAGAGGTTTCAGGACTAAGTCAAGTCAGTGCAGTAAAGAGAGAGATTTGGGGTGACATATATCCTTGAGTCTTTTGCTGAATAGCAATCTGTGAACCTATAGGCAAGTTTAAGCTGTGATGGGTATGCTTTTGTAAACAGATATTTATTAATAAAACTGTACGTCTCTCTAAAATATATTTAATCCTGTCTATATGACATAAGGTTTTCATATTCACCCTTGAGTATGTAATAAATACCTGAAAGCTCCTCTTGGAGAGACAGAAATTTACGTAGCTTTTTTTCCTCTTAGATCTCCTAATTCTACCCTTCCTTTCCTCTACAGAATTTTTCCTAATAAAAATTAGGAGGAACAACTTCGTCTTTACCTGTAAAGTCTCATCAGTGAAGGTCACTGAAAAATTTAAATCAACACGAAGAAAAGGCACACCACATTTTATTATTTAACATGCTGAGAGAGGGAAAAGCATGC